CCGCAGACAGAAAAGAAATGCAATTTTTAGGTGAAATTAAATTACCAGTTCCAGTCCAGCCAGTACTTCATTGAGTCCCGGCGGCTGACCAATCCAACGGATTACCCCATAGAAAGGAGGATTCTCTTTAACCTCGGCCAGCGAGCCCACTTCCAGGCCATGTGAGTTACCAGAAGATACTGCCAAGGGTGGACTCTCCTGCACAGGTGCGTTGTTTAGCTCTCCCATCACAGACTGAACTGACAGAGAGAGCGGACTGTGGCTAATACTTCCATTGGTGTTGGGCATCTTTGTCAGACTAAATGGTAAAGAATGAAATCTGTTCTCGCTGGATAGTGAGTTCATGGAAGGAGGTTGCAGTGGTGGTGAAGCGTGTCCAAAGTCTGGAGAGATCTCCGTAAGCGATTTTGCAGGGTCTTCAGCAACTATAAGAAATTATTCTTAATTAGAGGAATTTATTCAAGAATATTAAATATGCCATACATCTCTAAAGATTAATATATACATAAGTCCAACTGCCCACCTGACCTCTTCTAGTATGATTCTCATAAGCATCACAAACTTACTACCTCCAAGTCAGTGTTCTTGATTCACATCCCCACCTCCAAATTTTTCTTCTTCAGTAAATGGCACCCAATTATTCAAACCAATAAAATGTTATTGATTGGAATTGTATAGGTTATATTCTATGTCCAAAATACAATTAAGTTACAAAAACCAATACAAAAAAGAGAGCAAAAAATTTAAGAAAGATGCTTCTAAATAACAAATCAATCGAAGAAGAAATGATAATGTAAATTTTTAAAATAAAGGAAAAAACACTTGAACACAACTAAAGTAATACTTATAAAAGAAATGTATAGATTTAATAGTTCATTTTAGAAAAAAAGGAACGGTAATTAATAAATTCAGCATACAACTTAGGAAGTTAGAAAAACAACAGAATAACCTCCCCAAAAGTAGTCAAGAGGAAAGAACACAAAAACAGAAATTAATGAAAGAGAAAACAAACATCCAATAAAAAGAACCAAAGCCAAAAGCTGTTTCATTAAAACAACTAATACAGTTGCCTGGCAGGTACTGCAAATCAGTGTGCAAAGAACAAACTTCTTAATAAATGGCGTTGAGATAATCAACTATCCATATTTTTAAAAAATTAAATTGGACTCCTCTGTCATACTCTACACAAAAACAATTTCCAGATGTCTTAAAGAAAAATGTCAAAGGCAAACCTACAAATTTTGCAAAAGAATATAGAAGAATGTTCTTTATGACTTTAGGGTAGAGAGAAATATCTTAAACATGAGTATACAAACCAAAAAGGAAAAGACTGACAAATATGACCACATTAAAATTAAGAGATACTTGTCCATTAAAAGGCATCATAGCAAGAGGAGAAATATGAGCCACAAACAAGGAGAAAATACTTGTAATCCTTATTTCTGACAAAGGATTAGAATTTGAAAAAGGTCTATAAAGCAATTTTTTTAAAAGACCAGAAAAAAATAGAAAAAAAAATGGACAAAAGACTTGAAAAGGGAGCTCACAGAAAAAGAAACCTAAGTCACCAACAAATCAATGAAAAGGTTCTTGCCCTCACTAGTAAATACATAAGAGAAAGTCAAAATCAACATGAGATAGCATTTCAAAAGGTAAAGGTCTTAGAACATTAACTGCTGGTGAGGATGAGGAGTCAATGATACCCTTACACAAAGCTGATGGGAGTGTGAAGTGGTATTAACTATTCCAGGAAACAGTCTGGCATTATTTAGTAAAGGAAAGATGTGCATATCCCATGTACATCTAGTAATTCCACTCCTAGGTACATACCCTAGGCATGGGTAAGAATGTTAATAGCAGAGCTGTTAATAATAGCAAGAAAATAAAACCAATTCAAATGTCCATCAATGGTCGAATGGATAGTTACATTGTGGTATATGTAAATACCATATTTCACAGAAATGAAATGGAATGGAACGCAATGCTATACAGCAACGAAAACAAATAAATCATCATCACATACTACAACTTGGATGAATCTAGAAACATAATGTTGAGGGATGAAATTACACAATATACATACAGTCTGATTCCTTGTATATAAAGCTCAAAACCATGCAGAACTAACAGTATGCTGTTTAGATGGACAAACTCATAAAGCAATAATGAAAACCAAGAGAGTGATAAACACTAAATTAAAGACGATGGTAGCTCAGAGGAGTGAAAAGAACACCAGGAAGCAGCACTGAGGGGATTTCAAAGGGAATGATAATGCTCTTTGCCTTAAAGTGAGCAGCGACTCCATGGGTGTTCACTGTACTTTATACCTTATCCATTTAAGATTCTTTACTGATGATATTTAATCTAAAAATTTTTTAAGTTATTATTTTCTTTCCCAAACCCTCAACCCCCCCAAGCCCAACACTCAGTTCCACAGAGCAAGATCTGTTGTTTCTACTTCCAAGATATACCTCAAATCTGTCCACCCCTCTTACCCTCAGCCACCATCATCTTTCCCCCTGCAACCAGTCTCTTACCTGGACTCTGTCCCTCTTCTCGCCCCTCTCCAATCTAACTACCATATACCACAACTAGTGAGATCTTTTTAGAGTTTAAAGATCTTACGTGACCTTGTATCATTCCCTTGTTTAAAACCGTCAATGGCTTTCCAGTACCTTACAATAAATACTAAATTTCTTACCAACACTTACTAGGTCCTAAATGATCCGGCTCCTACCTACCCCTCCAAACTCATTTCATACACCTCTTTTCCTTGCTTACTGTGCTGCAGCCACTCTGGCCTACTTCCTGTTCCCCAAATATAATTTCTCACCTCAGGACCTCTGCCTTTACTATTTCCTCTGCCCAGAATGCTCTTCTCAAGCTCTTTTTCTGGAAGTTTCGTTCACATCATCCAGATCTCAACATAAATATCATTTCCTCAAAGACTCTTTTCCAAACCACCTCTGGAGCCAGCTTCCCACCAGCTGCTATCACCTTGTTCATTTCCTTCATTGCACATGTCACAGTTACCTTGTCTGTCTATACAGTTATTGTCTATCATACTAACTAGAATATAAGCTCCCTACAATGAGGAACTTTGTTAGTCTTTTCCATGGTTGGATCCATAACACTTGGTATAGCCACTAACACAAGAAAATACTCAATATTTGTAATAAAAAAAATTGAATAAATGAATCAAATGTTATAAAGAATAGCCTTTAAAATGTGTAAGTAAAACAACTACAGAAATGATGTTCTTTTACAAGTAAATTGCTTCTATTTTCTAATTTAAGGATGCAGGCCTATTCCATACAAATTTCATTACTTCATATGTCTTTTTGGACCAGTTAGAAGGTTACTATATTAATCCAGACAGCAAAAAACAAAGGAAAGGATCTGAACTAAGGCAGTGGTTTCAGAAATGAAGAGAGGGGAAGGATTCTAGTGATATTAAAGAGGAGGAAATCCCTAGGACTTGGTGACATCTGGATGTGACTAATGAGAGAGAGAGAGGAGGTCCAGGATGAAGCAGAAACTTACATTTCAGGCAACTGGACTCATGTCTCCCTCTCCTCGCTCCGTAAAAACATAACTCACAAGGCCATCAGCGACTGCCACTGGCTAAATCCAACGGGTTTTTGTGTGGTCTTTATCTTATTTGCCCTCTCAGAAGCATTCGACACTGGTGTCTATTAGCTCCTTGGCTTCTTGGCCCAATAACCTCTTGTTTTGCCCACAGCCTCTGGCTACCTTTTCTCTGTCTCCTTTGAAGACTTCTCCTCCTCCCAGCCATTATGCTCCTCAAGGCTCAGACTTCAGCCACACCCTCCATCCCTACTTTCTCCATAGGTGATACTATTCACAGGATTTTAATCACCACATACGTGAAGGCAAACTACAAATTTATTTCTCCACCTCTTAACATCTCTTTTAAGCTCCAGATCTGCATATGCAACTGTCCGCTTGACAAATCAACTCTGGGAAGTTTAAAAGGCTCCTCAAACTCAACATATTCAAAGAAAATCCATCACTTCCCTCCACAAGCACCTAATCCATCACCTTCCTCCATCATCACCTAAGTATGCAGGCCAGAAAACTAGGAGTCATCACTCTCATCTCTTTCTTCCTTACCTCTCACTTTCAATCTATCTGTGAATCCTGTCAATTCACTTCTGATATCTCATAGCCATCCACCTCTCCCCATCCCTTCCCCAACAAGTCTAGCCCCAGCAACTATAATCTACGGCTGAGCCTATCAGCAGCCTTCAACTGTGTTCTTGCATTCACACAGCCCCTGCTTCAGTCCACTGTCCACCCTGCAGCCACAATCATCTTTTCAAAAGGCAAACCCTGCAAACCCCTTGCTGAAAATCCTTCAGTGGCTTGCCATTTCCTTTTTTCGGGGTTTTTTTTTTTTTTTGCGGTATGCGGGCCTCTCACCGTTGTGGCCTCCCCTGTTGCGGAGTACAGGCTCCAGACACGCAGGCTCAGCGGCCATGGCTCAGGGGCCCAACCGCTCCGCGGCATGTGGGATCTTCCCAGACTGGGGCATGAACCCGCGTCCCCTGAATCGGCAGGCGGCCTCTCAACCACTGTGCCACCAAGGAAGCCGCGCCATTTCCTTTTAATAGGATACACCAGGCTCCACATGCCCTGGCCTTGTTTGCCATTCCATTCTCATCTCATAAAATGTTCTGGCTACTCTGGCTCTCTTTAGTCCTTGGCAAACACCAGCTCCATTTTACCACAAGGCCTTTACATATGCTGTCCTTTCTGCCTAAAACGTTCTTCTGCCCCATTTCAATTTGTTATCTATCACTCCCCTGGTAAATCTAAGCTCATGTCACTTCCTCCTAGAAATATCCCTGAGCCCCTCAAGTAAAAGCATCCCTTAATATACTCTCACAGCATCATATGCCTTCGTTATACCCATCAAAACTGCAACTCTTCATTTCTTTCTGGCACACAGTAAGCATTCGATATATACTTGTTGAACAGATGAGCAAAAGAAAAAAGAATAAACCAGAAGAAAGTGACGTCCCAGAACCAAGGGAAGGTAGAGTTTTTTAAAAGTGGTATCAAAAAAAAGGATATCAAGATAGTAAAGTCTCTAAATGATTCAACTGATTCTAGACATCTTCTACCTTAAACAGCTCAATGAAGTGCAGAGAACGAGCTGCTAATACATTTTCTAAATATTACATTAACCTTAACAGCAGTGCAGCTCAAATTGTGTATAATATTTTAATTCAGCAATATTAATAAAGAATGGTCTACTCATTCTGTTTCCAAAAACTATCTATATTGGTGAAAAAGCCATTTTTTCTCTAGTGAGTTAAAAGGAGAGAATCATTATAAAGAACACTAAAATTATAGATTACCTTCATCAATATACCATGAATTTTTTGATTTGGATTGTGGCTGTGAGTCAACAGAAGACCCATTTAAGGTATAAAATAATTCAGATCTGTTTCTATTTCCAGGGTCTGAGGTAGATCCTATGGAACAAGAAAAGTTCCTTTTAAAAATAAAGTCAATATGATGTGAAAGTTTTTCCGTAAGAGAAAGTAATATGTATATGGTGTTAACAATTATTTACACAACCAACAGATGTATACAAACACAATATATTTTATTAGTGCCTTCAGCTTTTAAAATTTTGGTAACCATTTTTGCAGTGTCAAAAAGATTCTTCAGCCCAAGAAACAATATAAGAGGAGAACAGGAGTTAAGTTAAAAGAAAGGCCTGCTATTTTTTTTTTTTTTTTAAACAAACTGCTTTAAAAAATCATTTCACATACTATGGCTTATTTCCAAATGTCAAAATCACCATTCCCCAATTTCATTTAACGAAGCTCCTGGTTCACAAACTTAACATATTATTTTAAAACGGTTGCCCTCAAAAGAAGGCAGTCTTCGAATGTATATAAATAGATGCATAAATTAAATTTAAAAGATTTAAGGTTTAACCATTTTGGAATTGTTAGTCAACAAATCCCTTGCTGAATTTCTTCATGTCTCTGAAAAGTGAAGCAGTATTATTTCTTATACATTAGATTTATTAGACGTAAGAAAATTTAGTGTAGCTAAGCCCCAGACACATCAAGACATTCCCCTGCCTCATTACTAAAAGGACATGCTATCGTTGAGAGCAGTGGGGTCTCTAGAACCTACAACAAAATCTGATTTCTTTTTCAATTTAAAGCAGATAACTTTACACTTCATACCTATAACTAAGATCTGCTACAACATAAGTAGTACACATATCTTAAGAAAATCTTTAGGCTATTCATATTTAAGTGAGAGTAGCAAATTGGTGCTAACCTATCTAGATCCACAGGTTAACATAAAAAATACTATCTATCACTGATATATTTTATTTAATTCTACATCTCCCAGGGTCCAATGTCACATAAAATATTTCTTAAAGTACAATTTCCTTTTAAATAAGCTGAAAAAGTTTTCTTCACTAGATAATTGAGGAAAAAATATTCTTTTCTTAACCTACATCTGAGTTGAAACTTCTTGCAGCTTTTTAAATTAGCTGTTTAGCTTGTATAACTACCACCCTATACATCTATGAAATATGTGGAAGCTAACCAAAAAACAACTAAAAACTCCACATATATTGTAAGGGAGTCTCTGGAAGAAAGACGAAAATTTTTGCTTAGTGGTTTGGAATTTAATTTGTGCCACCTCTGTTAGCAAAATCCACATAATCTCTAGTATATTTTATCCTATAAACATTATCCATAAATGATTATTTTGTACAGTGTGACTCTAAACTATATATACAAATGTTACAAGTAGGGAATTCTAAAAACCAGCGTATATGGACCAGAAAAAGACACAGGTCTCCACGGGAAATTTTTCATCATTTAGAAAAAGGTTGCGAACCCTTGGCTTAAGCAACACCATCTATAAACATTTTTTAGTAAACTACTAAAAACGTTTGCAAGAAAGTCTACATATACATTAAGGAGTAATACCTTTTCACCTTTTTTCAATGGTATGGCAAATAAAAAATCATGTAAATAACTAAGAAGTGTATTCTATTAATCCATACCTGTAGCCTTTGGTTTATTATGACTGGATGAACCTTTGTCCCCAACACCTCTTGACATAAAGGCTAGTTTGGAAGGCCTCCTTTCCTGTGTAACGCTATCTGAAACAGTAAACATGTTTTTTAAAGATAAAAGCAAATTCTTATAGAAGAGAAACAATTGAGCAAATAATGACAATAACAACAACAATCCCTTTCCAACGAAAAAACAGAATTTTCAGAGTAGTTTTACAAATTCGTCAAGGCCATAAAAAGTACTGAAAAAGATCATACCAAAAAAAATCATTGCTGTATTTCAAAACATAATTTCTACAAGATAATACACCCCAAGTACAATTCAGCTATGTGCTTTAACTTCTTGAAAATTTAACCACTTTTAATCAATTTTATTTGATATGTTGAAACACCACCAAGAAAACCTTACTCAGTTTTTTTCAGGATTTCCCAAATCAGTATCCCCAGAACACCCCTGTGTGTTATGAAGTGTCCCACTCTCAAATATCTCTAGAAGATGCTGAGGTAAACAGACTTCTTTACTGCATAACCCCAGAACCTTTAATATGCTAATATGCATTGTGAATCTCTCAAAAAGGGATATAATAAACTTATTTGATATGTTTTTTGTGCCACTCTACTCAGCATCTCAGATTAATATATTTCATGGGACACAGATTGGAAAAAGTCTGGTTAAGTATATGTTATCAGTTTTTTTAAATATATATATATATATGTTAAGAATAACACAAACACACATACATATAAGAGAAAAAACACAGAGAAATACACAAATGAATAATGCAGAAAGCCAGAGATAAATAGCAACAATACTTCTGAAGAAAACACTTGAAACTGTTTTGAAAAACTGGTGCAATAATTTTGTTTTTGATACAAAGACTACCTTAAACCTTAAAGGCCAGTGATTTTCATAAGATATTCACAAAAACTGATCAAGCAAATGTAGAACAGTCAGTCTGGAACGTTTTCGCCTGGAAAGTTCAACAATATCCGTGGAGTCCAACATGACACTTAAGAGTCCTACCTGATTAAAGCTACGTATCAGCAAAAACAATATCACCCACAGTGGCTTTTTGAGAACAGAAAGAGAAAAAGAGGGAAAGTTTTACATTTTAAACACAAGGGCTATTTTTTTTAAGAAAAAGGAAATAATATTGAATTAATTATATATAAATGATGCTTGGTAACTTTTTTGCACAGTTGGAGGGGGAGAAGAATGCATTATTGAACTATATCTTAACTGTCTCATAATGTGATCAAATGGAATATTATTTTAGTTCAAAAATTATATTGAATAACCATGTGTTTAACCAAGTGATATAGTAAATGAAAGGCTATTTACCAATATTTTTATGATGTTACCATTCCAATATCTCTCAATACCACATGTGACAGCTACCGTGAAAGTAAAACTACTTAGTCACTGGCAAAAGTTTCCAAATTACAGCATATAAATTGACTAAAGAAAACTAACTCCCACTATTAACTGTAATTAATTGCATGTAAGTACATTTTGAAAAGATATTCACATGTATACCAAAATCTATATACATTATACAGTTAGTGGTGATTATAATAAAGGCAGAAAATGGTCTTAACTAAGGCCGCCTGGCAGTACCAAAAGGCCAAATGGATGAGCCGGTGGTGACAACTCTGATGGTGATGCTAGGGGAGAGCTCCAAGGGTTAGGAATATGCAGGGCACTGGAGTTGGAAATGGTGGTTATCTTCTGCCAAAGACTTTGTCATGGGGGAGGTAGGGGCTCAAATATCAACTTTGAGGAATAGGACAGTCCTGCAGAATTCTATGCAGGTAAAGGGTCACATGCCATATCTAACTTGCCCTCCAGCAGTTACATACCAACTAATTCTTTCCTTATCACAACTATATTCATGATCCAAAATCAAAGCCTTCCATCTTAAATGAATTTTAAGAGAATACCATCTCAGGAAAAGGCAAGTATGAGAAAGTAAACAAAGTAAGGAATAAATTTGGCAGGCAATTTTGTGAGATTAAAACAATCCTGATTAAAAGATATTACAAGAGATAGCAAGACACGTCCACCAAACGGCATGTATAAAATGTTCATAGCAGCCTTATTTGTAATAACCAAAAGCTGGAACAATGCATTCTACAGGAGAATGGATAAACAAACTGTGATCTGTTCGTGCAATGGAATATTACATAGCAATAAAAAAAAGAATAAACAACTGATATACAAAACACCATGGACACTGTGTTGAGAAAAGAAATGAAGCCAAAAGTACCCATTATATATACACAGCAGGAGTGCATTCAAAATGATAAAATTAGAAGCCTGCCCATCACTCTTATTGATTTAATCAGAAAAAGAAAAATCCCTGGAAGAAACTTGGGTTGGAAATCGTAACAATAAACCAGTGAACAATAACAAACCACAAGAAATGTCTGTGGATTTGAATGACCCACTAAATTGAGAAAATTGCTTAACTGATGTACTGCTTAACATCATCAGCCACAAGAGCATAATTCAAACCCAAATGAGAATTTAATATCCATGGAGAAATCTACTGAAGAAAATGTAAGTTTACTTGGGTAGAATGAATAATTATAAAACCCAATACCAAACATACTATACACAACAACAAGGCAAAAGTCTCCTTAGAGTGAGACTAGTGATCAAAGTAAATATTTTCCTTATATTTTAGACAATTTTATATGAAAAGTTGTTCAAAAAATCCTGGAAGGTCCATAGAGATAACATCAGGATTGCATACTGTGATCTAGTGCTTCAAAATAACCTTTTGGGCTCTAATTGTCTCGTATGAGGGGAGTCCTGCCTATACAGACAACATTCAGGGTGATTCAGACTGACAATCTCTACAGAAGGCCACTTGGCATTATCTATCAAAATGTAAAGTACACATACCCTTTGACCCAGCAAGTCTACTTCCAGGAAGTTATCTTTTTTTTAAGATCTTATAAATATTTTAATGTAAATATGAGTATAATACATCCCATTTAAATACTCAGAAAAGTATATTGATGGCACACAAGAAAAATCTACAGATGACATGATATTGAGAGAGACAAAACACGAAAGGACAGAATTAGTATCCAAAATGATCTGAAAATGGAAGACTGGATAGCTCTAACGACATGAAGTTAAACAGGGACAAATGTAAAGTCCTGCCATGTGTCCCCCAAATCAACCATACAAATATAGATCAGAAGCAGAGGTACATGTGAACAAAATTGGGGATTTAAGTCAAGCGTAAGTTCAGGAATCATTAATTCATTAGTTTATAAATGCATTCATTTAGTCAAGAAATACTACCAACTCCATGCAAGGAAGGCATTACGTGTCTCTGGGAATATAATTCAAACTGTGACAGGGCTGTCCCAAAATCTTTTCTTCCAAAGTCCTGTTCTATTGCAATAATTAGTCTACATAAAGACTACGGTATTCTGTTCCCCTCTAAGTGTCCAAGTGTGAAGGTGTCTTTAACAAACCAGTTCTTATTCAGAATATCTGGAAGGCATGCCATATGAGAAATGGCTAAAATGACTCAAACTATTTAGTCTGGAGAACAGAAGATGTAGGTGTCAAGGACACTCATCTTTGAATATCTGAGGGTTGCTACAAGGAAGAGGGGCTGGATTTGTCCTAAGTTCATCCCCAGTTAGAACTAGAATCAATGAGGGAAGTTATAGGAAGGTAGAGGTAAGCACGTATCCAAGGAGAGACTTTTTCACAATTAGATCTGTCTAAAATGAAATACTCTAATTTTCTTCAGGACAAAGTGACTCTTCTATCAAATGAACACATAAGTAATCTTTTAGCTATACTGGATACATGCAAACTGAAACATACGTATGACATTACTCACTGAAGCATTGTTATAATAGCAAAAGACTGAAAACAGCCTTAATGCCCATCAGTAGGGGACTGGTTTCAAAAAACTGATACATTTTGGGGCTTCCCTGGTGGCGCAGTGGTTGAGAATCTGCCTGCTAATTCAGGGGACATGGGTTCGAGCCCTGGTCTGGGAGGATCCCACATGCCACGAAGCAACTAGGCCCGTGAGCCACAACTACTGAGCTTGCGCGTCTGGAGCCTGTGCTCCGCAACAAGAGAGGCCGCGACAGTGAGAGGCCCACGCACTGTGATGAGGAGTGGCCCCCGCTTGCCACAACTAGAGAAAGCCCTCGCACAGAAACAAAGACCCAACACAGCAAAAATAAATTAATAAATTAATAAACTCCTACCCCCAACATCTAAAAAAAAAAATTGATACATTTATAAAATGAAATACAATGCAATAATTTAAGCAAAAGATTAAGTATGCAATTTATGTACTAATATAAAATGATCCCTATGATCGATCTACTGTTAGCTTTTTTTTTTTTTTTTTTTGCTGTACGTGGGCCTCTCACTGTTGTGGCCTCTCCCAAAGGCTCCGGATGCACAGGCTCAGCGGCCATGGCTCACGGGCCCAGCCGCTCCACGGCATGTGGGATCTTCCCGCACTGAGGAACGAACCCGTGTCCCCTGCATCGGCAGGCAGACTCTCAACCACTGCGCCACCAGCGAAGCCCCGACTGTTAGCTTTTTTTAAAAAGGTGCAACTTACTCTTCTGGGAAGATAAGCTGGTGTACTTTTTCCTATTCCTCCTGATAAGTACAGCTGAAAACTCTGGATGTAACATATAGAACAAAACTGAGAAGCCTCTGAAAGGCAAAGAGAAGGCAGATGAGCTAGGGAGCACGGGACCTAAGGAGTGACACGAGATTTCCCTGGGTTTTCTTATTGCCTCATATATCCTAGACTTAGAGCTGAAGAAGGCAGCAACCTGGAAATGCCAATGGGGAGAGACAAAAGAAACTCCCAACAAAGGTATCCTCTCATTAGTCAAAGAATGAGAAAAGACAAACCCTAGTCAGACAGAAACTTTTAGACAATAATCACTCTATTGCAAGCAAACACAGTGGCCACACCCACTCCAACAAAGGCCAAGCGGGGAATCTGGACTTCTGCCTCCACCTGACAATAATGAGGTGACACACACACACACCTTGAAGCAGCAAAAACAAAGTTTAAATATGA